CACTAGATGGACGGCTATTCAATTTTTCGCATTTTTATAAAAATCGGATTAAACCGAACCGAACCGCCGGTTTTTCGGTTCGGTTCTTACGGATTTCGGCTCTAATCCGAACCGTCTATAATCCGGACCAAACCGACCCGTTCGGAGCTTTAGTAGTAATAAATAGCAAAACCATAAAAATAATTATAAAATTTATTTTTATATATACTTTCTGATTTTTTTATATAAAATAAAGGTTACTTAAAATTTAGAATTAGAGTTAAAAAATTAAGATTAGGGTTTAGAATTAGATGTTCAAAAAAATTAAAATTTTATTTATTAAAACATATAAGTTTAAAAGAGGGCAAATAAATAGTGTTTATATAAAATATAAAATTTCAAAAAATTTTTTTTTTTAATTTTTCTTACTGAACTTGCCATATTCAGTAATTTCAACCATATTTAAAATTAAATTAATTTACAGACAATATATTAATTTTTTTTTTTTTTATAATTTTCAAATACATAAATAATAAATTAAGTTTATTTAATATAATTTTTTATTTTCTTAATTAAAAATAAAATAAATAGTATAAAAAAATTCTCTCTTTTATAGATTTAATCATTATCTTCATCGTCTTCTTTATATTCTTGAATTTTACCAGATTTAATAGCTTCTTCAACAGGGTTTACAACATCCATTACACCAGTTTTTTTAAGACGTTCAAATAACACAAATAATTTTTCAGCTTCCCTTTCTTTTTCTTCATCAGTCATATTTGATAAAGAAGGTGGTTCATTTTCACAATATTGTCCTGTTACAGGATTAATCGGTTTATCTGAATGTGAAGTATTTGAAGACGAAGGTGGCATCATTATATTTTTACTTAATAGAAATCCTGCTGCATTTCCATAACCCACATGATGAACGAACAAGTTTGCTATAAGGGATTGAAAATTAGTGGTAAGATTTTACACGTTAAAAAATCACATAAATTTAACACACCTACCATCTTGATTACACAAAATAAATAATAATTCACTAATACTGTCTTTTAAATGTGGCAACATAACAGAGGTCATAAGTCCAATTAACCTAGCTGAAAAACTATCACCTTTTTCTAAAGGTTTACTTCGATCTCTGTAAAAGGAATGAATTTTTTATTAACAAATTATCTTAAATAAATTGTTTTTCTTTAATAAAGTTACTTACATGTTATCGGGTAATAATTCTTCTTTTATTAAAATTTTTGCATAATCGTCATCATCAGCTAATTTTCTGAGTAAAACAACCAAAGGAGTAATAATTTCATCAAAATCTAGATTATTGTCACTAGCACCTCCGGCCGCTGCATTTTCTTTATCAGGATCATTTTTTACGGCTATATAAATCATTGATTTAAACATATCAATTAGATTGAAACAAACTCTATATTGTTCTTTTTTGCTAGATGATGGCGGAAACCATAATGATTTATATGGTTCAATTGGAAAATTTAATAACGCATGTATTGCATGTGAATGTGGAGGTGAAAGTGGCAATGGTGTTGATTTTGGTACTTTTAGAAGTATATTTAATATGGGTAAAAGTAATCTATCAAAAAGAATTTTTTCTTAATAGTAATATTAATTAAAAAATAACTCATTTAGCAAAAAATATTACTTACTTTTCAAATTTATTACTATTATTAGATCCTTGTACTAAATTATCTCGTTCGATTTTAGGATCGTTTATCATTAAATTAAATAATAGCTTTAATTGTTCATTTAGCACCATAATTCTAGTTATAGGTAACGAATTTATATCTTCTTTTGAAGAACTATTTGGTAAAGATAATTGTTCAAGATGTTTACTAATATACTATAAATTATTCAAGAAATTAGTCAGGATTACAAGAAAAAAAAAAAGAGATAATTAAAACTTACATTATATAAAATATCAATTATTCCTAGGTTATCAATTAAGGGTTGTACAGCTGGTTGTGGTTTAATAGTCATAAGAAACAAAATTCTTGATAATAAAAATTGCGTCTTAATTGAAATTCCATTATCCTATCCATAAGGAAAAAGTGAGTTATTTCCGTTATATTAACACACCGTAACATACTTAAAACCTTTCTTTACCTTGAGAAATTGACATATACTTGAAATACACTTATACTTGTCAAACAAATCACGTGTGCTCTCTTTAAGTAATAACATATTTGCTATACATGTTAATGACTCTTGAGTTACCGGAGTATCAGATTTTGGTTCAGTTGATTGGAGTTTCGTATGAGTTAATAATATTTTAAATCCCTATATTTGTTTAAAGGTTCATTAGGTAATGATAATATTTTTAAAAATAATGACACTTAAATTTAACACCAGAAATTATTGCAGAAACACACAAGCTTCTATTAATTTCAAAGCCATTTTAAAGGATCCAACTTAAAAAGGAATAGAAAATTTAAACTAGCAACCGAAAAAACACCAGATCTAACAACGTACCTTATCAGTAAATAATTGACCACACCCATTCGCATCGCGTCCCAAGATTTTTAAAGTTTGTAAAGCTAATAAACGAACTGTTACAAAATATTTTGTTAAAATAAATATATATTATTTCAAATTCAAAATAACCTAAAATGTACCACTATCGTTCCATTTTTGCTGAACTCCATTTTCATCGAGATCAGTTAACAAAGAAGAAATCAATTCTTCCTTTATCTTTAACGGAATAATCGTCAGCTCTAAATTATAATCATAAAGAATATTAAAATTCAACTTCTTACAGAATATCAATTCAATAAACACAATACGTACCAACTTGATTCGCTAAAAGAGAAGTAAATACAGAAGAAACGATTTCAATATCAGATTTATTTTCGAGAGAAATGTAAGAACTCATATCACTTCCTTTTTTGCCAAACGGAATAAAAGTTGCGTGACGTCTTTCGTGGACTAATTTTTATATCAGACAGAGCTGTAGATCATGATCGATTGTGTCACAAATAATTTGAACACTTTTAGGTTACATTGAAGAAAAAATCTGAAAAATGACTTCCGCTGCTGAAAATACGGTTGTTAAAACATATTACTCGGATAGAGCTTTTCCTTTACTTCCTAACGAGGTTACTTTACTTATTTTTTCATACTTAACACAGCAAACACGTTTAAAATTATGTAGAGTATCCAAAGCTTTTAAAGCCTTAGCATATACACCATTATTATGGAATGAAACAATTATTTATAATACAAATGGCCTTGAACTTGATAGTACTTTGAAGCGATTAAAGAATATACAAGCATTAGATGCCAGGGCTACTAAAATTACCGATGAATTCGCTAAGAAATTGTTAGTTAGTTCGGCCAGACATGCTCTTAAAAGTAAGAATTTAATTAAAAAATTTCCTTAATTTTTTGATTTGTCGAATTTAATTAATTTCACTTCACCTTCATTTTAGTTTTAGATCTTTCAGTTACAGGTATAACAAATATATCGTTAATGTCTATTGGGTTTAATTGTACATCTCTTGAGAAACTGTTTTTAGAAGGATGTAAAGAAATATCAAATATAACTTCGTTAGCAAACTTATCTTCAACATGTAACTTAACGACATTAGTATTATCACATTGCGAATCAATAGATGATGATACCATTTTTTCATTTCTCACTGTAACTAATACTACTATTTTAAAAACACTAATTAAATTAGATATTGATGGATGTTATAAAATAACGGATGATGGAATTAATTTAATTGCTACTAGGTTAATTAAGTTGAAATATTTAGTTATTGATGGGCAAGAAATAAGTGATTACTCGATTATATCAGTACTATGTAATTGTAAAGAACTAGAATTATTGGCCATATCTTTCAGTGAATCTTTGACTGACATGGTATTAGAAGAATTAATTCTTAATTTACAACCAAGTTTTAAATTTCTTAAATTAAGAAAAGGGACATCATTTTCTGAAGAAGGGTATTTATTAATTTTACTAAGGTTTTGTGATTTTTATAGCATGCATTATTTAAATCTTTTTTTATTTAAAAAAAAAAATAGATTTCGTAATTTTTTTGAAGCATTGAAAAGAAGAGAACATTCATTTTATTCGTTGGATCTTTCAGAATGTACGAATATAACAAATTCAAATTTATTTTATTTTCACCAACCACAACTGAGGTGGTTAAACTTGGATTGGTGTTGGGGGATAAAAGATTCATCATTAATGTATTTAATAATGGGTTGTCCAAATATACAAGAAATTATGATGACAGGTTGTAATTATATAACATGTGAATCATTATTTTATAAAATAGAACAACTTGATTTATCTTCATTAGTTACATTAAATTTTTGCTCTTGTAAGTTGATTGAACCTGAACTTATTATAAAGTTGGGCAAATTGTATCCAAAATTATACATTATAGATTATTACGGTGAAGTTTATAAACAAGGTAAAAAGGTTGGTTTTAAAGACGAAGTATATGTTGAAGATGAAATTTGTGAATTGGAAGTTGGTGGTAGAGAAAAAAGATGGGGCAAATTAAATGTTGGAGATTTTAAAAGATTTTACAGATTTTATTCCGTATAATAAGATAAATTTTACCGACAAATTAGTAAAAAAAATTCATTGATTATATCCATGAATTGATTTTGCTAAACTCTCTGCATCGGGTTTTGGGGATGTAATATTTACATTTATTTTTTTAATTTTTTCTAAATGATTGCTTGTAGTTTTACCTATACTAGCAATCTTAATATCATTTTCTTCAAATAATTTATTTTTTAATAGTTCTAATGAAATGTCAACTCCCGATGGACTAAAAAAAACTACCCAATCAATTTTCTTCTCGTAATTTAATAATTTATCTAATTCATTAGGAAATAATGAATTTGGTCTGGTCTCATAAATTAATAATTCTTTTAAAATAAATCCTGATTCTACCAATTTATTTGGTAAATAATCTTTTCTTTTATCTCCTACAAGGAATAATAATTTTAATTGTTGAGAATTTTCTCTTTCTTGCGAAGAACAACTAAAATATTTTATTATGTAATCTGCCAATATTTCTGAACTTCCTGATTCATCTCCAAACGGATTAACATTCAATTCTCTTATTGCTTTTGCTGTTGATTTACCAACAACAAAATATGGTAATTTCTTCCATTTGTCTAAAACATCTTTTTTCTCATCTATAAAAATAATTAATCTATCTCAATTAATGGAGATTGATTACATTTAAACAGATCAGATGAAATTTCATTATATTTACCAGAAGAAAAGAATGATTGTTCCCATGCTATTTTAAGTCCTTCAACGGCTCTTTGACTAGTAGTTATTACCCCTCTATATTTATTGTCTGCTTCATTCTTTAATATATTAGTTAATTCATTTATATTAACCAAAGAGTGTTCGAGAAGCGGTAAATAAAGTATTTTATAATTTCCTAGTTCACGGAATTTTTGTTCATAAATATCTACGTTTGAATCAGCTTGTATTTGTTTTTCCTTTAAAAGCAATATTGTTTTTGAACGTGACATTATTCGCAAACAAAAAAGGACGAAAAGCATGAAAGATTTGTTTCTGGTTGGACATCATTTCCTAATTATATCAAAGATGCTGTAATACTTTTATTCACGTGCCTTTACCGCCTTTACCGCCTTTACCATCAAGATTTTTTGATTTGAACGAAGATATAGATAATTGGATACGTTAGATTTAAATTCTAACAAACATGGGCTCGTGTATCTTCGTTTTGAGGAATAATTTATGTAGTGCAAAGTAGCAATTATACAATTTGAAGACAGTAGATTTCCGCAATATTTTATCACTTATTTAATAAAATATAGATCTAAATAAAAATATATTAAATAACAAAATATTCTCTGATAACATTCTTTATAATTTCTCAAAAAAATATAGATTAAAGTAGCCAAATTTAAGCGAATCGAATATAGTAAACCCTTAGTATGGGAAGTAAGCCCGTATTATACGTTATTTTTTACCAGCCGTTTCAACAAATCCTGGGAAACATTCTTCCAATTTTTTACCATGTTTATTATCGGCGTGTTCTTCCAAACTAAAAAACAACAAAAAAAAATATATTAGTTTATTACAAAATGAAGTGGTTTGTTAATCCTTAAATATATACTTACGCTTTCTTTCTTACAGTACATAAGAATGTGTTCCGACAAACTTGACATACTATATTCTTGGCAGCCTCATTCTAATCAATTAAATTAATTAAAATAAAAAAAGAAACAAAAATAAAAAAATAAATGAATTTATAAAAAATCAAACCACTTTCTTGTATTTATTCAATTATTCTTCATGTTTTCTACATTTTATTCTCCAAAAAATTTTTGAGACATTTTATTAATAAACTATGAATACTTCAATTATCCTCCTTTGAAGCTTGTAACTTACCGTTTTCAACTGACTTGTTGGTCCTTTTTTCGCATCATTTTTTGCTCGTTCACGTTTATGTTGTGCCTTTTGTCCCTTTAATAATTAAATAAAAAATAAAAAATGTTACGAAAAAAAGTAACTTTCTCTCGTGAATGAACCAATAAAAGTCGTTACAGGTTTCATACGTTGCCCATTTTCGCAATCTAGATTTTTCAAAAAAAAAAAAAACTGAATATTAGGCTTTTTTTTTTTACAAACAAATAAATTATATTATGTTCACATGATGTTACTTCATTTTCCCCTTTACAAAATGGTTATCGGGTGATCGATTCAAGATGGTCTGCTAGGTATGTTAGGTATGGGCGAATGACACAATTTTTAGGGGTCTTTTAATGCAAGTCGGAAAATAAATAATGCATGACCTAATACCAGAAATCCGGATTATAAATGCCAATAGATTATCGGGTAAACAGTTATTTTATTATTATAAGAAATATCTTTTTTTTTCTAATATATTGAGAGTTTGTTAAAAAGCCATTTGTCATTTTGTCATTGTAAATTCCCCAAATTTTGTACATAAAGAACTTTTTTAATGACCTTATTAAAGAAAGAAATAGTTACGTTTATTTGTGTAGTATAATGAAATTAAAATATGAGTCATACGATATGCAAACTTAACTTAATAAATCCAATTGCATAACTGTATACCTGAATCCAAATATTAAAAAGAGTGATTAACTGACGGGTTCTTCGGGTTCTTACTATTGAAAAAACAAAAACTAACCCCTAAATTATATGATGATCGACATTTTTTTCACGGCTAATTTATGAAAATCGGAAATAAAAAAATAAAATCAATTAACTACAAAGGGGAATGGATGGGTTCCCATACATGAATTAAAAAAAACAGTGCGCGCATAGTGCGTGGAATGTATATTTTAGGGCGGATCGAGGTACCAAACATTGCGACATCGGGCATTTGAAATTGGACTTAACCTAAGTCTGTGCATCAACATCAATTTCGAAGGTCATTCAAAGAAATCCATCGCGTTTCGGATAAAGTTCATTGTTAATAAATAATAAGCCATAGTCACCGTAGGATCAACAAACTCGGGATCAGTCCCCAAAAGAAAGCACTGTGACTTTTTCACATACCGGGTACCCATTAAATTTAGCCGACTTAACCTGAAAAAGATAACGCGGGGCTGGGCATTTATACGGGTCCTATTTTTTATAAAACCATTCGTATTTTATTTAATAAATTGACGAAATGTTAAAGGTTATTAAAAAAAACGTTTTTTTTTTTAACAATTTATTTGTATCTGTATTGTCATAATTATATAATTATTTCGTTCATTATATTATAACTTAAAGGACTTAAAGATAAAAAATAACGACCCATATATAATAAAGAACAACTAACCACGAGGACAATCTAAAATATTTTTCTTATTTAGGCTATTAATGTCACATTACATCATAAGTCATAACATATTATGTTCATTAAGTTACTATATAAATTCGTCATATAAATAAACTTTAATTGGATTAGGAATATAAGAAAAGAAAAAATTAACATAGTTATTTTTTTTATATTTTTTTCCTTACAAGAGAGGCGCGAAAAAAAAAAAATTATTTTAAATTTAATTTAAAATTAACAACATGTCTTCAATGGATTGGCGTTCTCTTGTTTCTACAGATGAAAGACTTACTAGTATTCTCAGAATTGCGGAATTAGCTCATGCTGTTCAACCGTTTAACGAAGTATTGAACCGTGCTAGACAAGCAGAAGCAGGCGTCTTTCAAAGAGCAACTTCTCGGGTAATTTTACCGTGTCTTTTAATCTCAAAAATTTTCTTTGCCTTTTCTAACGTGTTTAGAATGACACATATGTAGGAAAATTATACTGCTTCTATGGAACAACTAGTTAGCTACATGAAAAAGACAATAGAGGACAAAACAAAACAACATCTTGAACAACTAGCAGAGAAGGAATATAAAGAATTGTCTGATAACCAAACGAATGATTTGGCAAAAAATTCAAAAACTGAAGAACAATCTGATCAATTGACAAAAAAACAATTAGAACTTAAAAATTTATGGAAAAAACGTATTGAAGAGATTATGGAACAACTGCGTCGCCAGCAACAAACGCAATCACAACGTCTTTATTTATTATTACAGAATCTACAACTTCAACAATTATTGCAGCAAAAAAAGACTCGTCAAACTCAATCCACAAACATAACTCCGTTCTTGCAACAAGAAGTTTTGTTACCACAACCTAGTGTATCAGTATTGCAAACAAATTTATCAACTATTCAACAATCTATTAATCCTTTATTCCAACAACAACCTACAATTATATTTCAACAGCAACAGACAATTCCTCAATTTTATCAGCCACAAACATATTCTTTTCAACACCAACCGATGACTGTTCAACAATTATTTACTCTTACACAACCTTCTTTTACAGTACAGCCACTAATCACTCATCAGGCTCTTCCGAACTTATCTACTCCATTAAAATGTGAACAATCACAATCTTTACCACAAGATACTTCTTATTACCTTGTAAAGGATGCAAACATACATAAGGAAGCTTTCAAAGAAGCTTTGAAATTGCCAATAAATGAACAAAAAAGACATCCTCCACCCGGCGAACCTGTAATACCTGTACATGCTTTGAAAGTTGAAGGTTCTGATACCGCTTCTCAAGTCCAACTCCACCATCAGTTCAAATAAAATTGTCAATAAGATAAATCAAAGTTGATGATGTCGCCATTTGAGATCATATGGTATGCCTATAATTATAGATAGAAGTACTAAAAAAGTCAACTATCTATAGACGAATTATGGACACAACTATCTCGTGGCGCGACGGCTCTCACATACGTGTTACCAAATATGCATACTGCGTACATCCGGCAACATTTGGAAGCGCTGATCTTTCTAATCTTTATTAATATTAATTATGATTTTTTTCATGATAATTATAAACAATTGGTAAATATCTTGCTAACTATATTTTTTTTTTTCTTTTTTTTTCTTTTAATTTTCATTAGATTCATTTGTTTGGGTCTTACGATTATAAAATTCAACGCTCACTTCAAAATTCGGATTTTGTCTTTAGGAACGAAACGAGATTTGTGCAACCTTGTTATGATTCGTGTTCACCTCTATTTTATAAATAATTGGAAAGGTTTTTTAATATTGTAAAAAAAAAAAAAAAATAATGAGTGTGTAGATATATGTTAAAGTATAAAATATTTTTATTATTTAAAATGAAATAAATTATTTTTATATTATATTGTTTTTTGAGGGTTTTGGGGCAATCTTTTAAAATTATCTCTTCACCTAAGCTTAGCCTTACATATTTACCCATAATATAATATATCCTTTTTATTCAATAAATTCGGTTCTAATTCTTCAAATCATAAAAATCTAATTCTTTTATAATGTAATTATTCCTTTCATTTTCATTAATTTTGGTCACAGTCTTTTTAATTAGAATAGCCTCGTAATTCCATTTATATATGTAAGTCATTTATTGTACATATCATTATTAAACAAAAAAGAATTCTTTTTATAAATTATAAATATCCAATAAGTAGTTTCATGAAAATTTGTCTCACCCTTCCGTTTTTGACTTTTTATTAATGCACACGTTACCTACATATCTACATATCTTTTGACTAAAAATAAACGAATAAAAATGCGTTGTACATGATCGATTGACCAGATTTTGGTCATTATACCTCTCGCTCCTTCAACTGAAACATTAAAGATAAACCTTCAATGGTAAGTATATTTAGATACTTTTATTGATCAACTATTTTTTTATTAGTTGAGAATTATGGAACAAATCGAAACTAGCGTGAAAAATTCGCTTTATACGAACCAAATAATGCATTACCCACAAAAGATTTTTTCAATACGATTACAATTAGTTGGTAGGCATGTATAATCACGAGTGACACCTCTTGGAGGTTTCTCGTCCTGGCCAAAGTCACCAAGAAGGCATGACATTTCTAATAAGAACTATGATGATTTGAAGGTTAATACTGACTAAGAGACCCCCATTTTAACGTACCCCTTATAATATACCCGGGTATGGTAATGTAGATATGTAGAGGATAATTTTTAATTCTGGTAAAATTAGGCTAATTTCTTCGATTTTTTAAATAGGGTAAATTGATTCGTACCCGTGGTACCTTAGTCAGTGCTATGCGGTATATTACCAGACGAATTGTTAAGAGTAATAATGATAATGATCATTTGAAAATATGGAATTACTGGATTACGTTTTGCACTAAGCAGGCCACAAACAAGATTCACATTGTGTTTCTTGGAAACCATATTTTCATGTAGTTTCATTTTGTATACAATGGTATAATCATGTAAAAGATTTATCCATTTACTCTGAAATTTTATCAGAATATTCTTTAAATATTCTTATATTACATACAGTTAGTATATTGATTTTATAACTTTACACACTGGGTGGCTAAGCTTTGAACTCTGCATTAGTGTAAAGTTTCCCCATTATTATTTTATTTTTAGAAGCATTATAAAGGAAAGTAAACTTTTTCTTTATTATTAGTTGCTGTTTGAAGGGTTGTAATAATAGATACTAGATGAAAACTTGAGATTTATTATCTTTTTTTACTCAGTTTTTTCTTTTAGGATTTTCTGAGGGTTATGACTTTCCTTTTTGTTTTTTTAGTTTTTGAAAAAGCTGGGAGTACTAAAATGTTGATTATTTGGGCTGGAGATTTGGTATTAACTTTTTTGGATTTATATAGATCAATTAAATAAGAAGAGCTAATGAAATTGGTGAATTTTAGTTTTTAATTTTTACTAATTCAAGTTGATTAGCAGTGAATTCTTCAAAATTAAATTCATTAGAAAAATTTGAAGTGATACTGATTGAACCTTATGTATTTATATAAAATCATATGGATTATCACAACTGCTCTTAAATGATGTTTACAAGTTCTTATTTTAGAATGTACCAACTTTTTATATAGTAATTCTTTAGGCAAGTATATTTATTAGTAAATAAGACTCAAAATAAAAAGTATTAATATTGGTCATTTATATGCCATTTTACTGACAAATAAAGGAACTCTGTAGTAGAGGAGTTTGGTTATTAATATTACTTTAGGTTTTTTAATATTTTTATAATTGAATAATTATAATTATAAGATAATTACAGAATAATATTATCTAATTTTTATTTAATAATTATTCCATAATTTAATAATTTTTATCAGATGATTTATAAAAAAATAACATAAAATTTCTAAATTTAAAGACTAGTTAAAAAACAAATTTTTTTAAACTTAACAAAATAATTATTATTGCATTTTTCAAAATTCTGTTACTCTCTATATCTATACTTCTATACTATATAATAATTATTTTTATGTGTAACCATAACATTTAGACTACCCTGTATAAATAAATTTGAATTGCGTAATATCGCTCCCATTGGGCACTTTGTCACGTGACATTACACAAACTTCAAAGGAAATTTTGCTTCCCACAAAAATAGGGAATTTTGGTTTTACAAATATTCCAAAAAAGGATATTTCTATACCGATCACATTAAGGTTGCTTGTCTAAACTTCTTCAAAATCCTATGATTAGTTTTGTCAAAATTTTACTATAGATTTATTATAGTTTCGGCAGAGTTTCGGCAGTTTCGGCATTTATAATAAGTTTCGGCAGTTTCGTCTTTCTCCAAAGTTTCGCCAGTTTTTTAATATAACTTTAATATAGTTTCGGCAGAATTTTGCTTTTCGGCAAAACGCCATCTTGCCTAAACCCTTAGGTTTCGGCAAGCAACCTTAGATCACATAATTCCTGTTAGAATTAATTGTCATATCACTGGTAAAAAAATGGTCTATCCTACACATATCCTACACATATCTTACATATATCGGGTACTCAAAATGTAGAAAATCATACACAAATAATACACATATCATATACATATCGGGTACTTATATATATAGTATACCTATCAGGTACCTGATATATGTATGATATATATATTAGTACCCGATATGTGTATGATATGTGTATTATTTGTGTATGATTTTCTACATTTTGAGTACCCAATATGTGTAAGATATGTGTAGAATAAATCATTTTTTTACCAGTGATATTTTAATATACTGTATAATATTTATTTTAAAATTTCAAATAGTTTATTTTTTATAATAATTTTTTACATAATTTTTTACTTTTATTTGATATCATGCAATATTATATCTAAAAAAATAAATTATATATCAAAATATTCATCTTATTAAGATAAATCTAACAAGTTAAAGATCAATTATTAAATCCAAAAATAGAGGTTAAAATCTATATATAATTTTATATATTTAAAACAAATTAAATATAAGATTTATACAAATTTAGATCTGAATTTTTAGTAATTTTTAGAGTTTTAGTATACTTTGAAATAGAAACATGTAAGTATCATTAAAGAGTGATTGTGATAATCATATAGAATATAGATACATCAAATCCAGTTAGTAATAATTAGGGATGCCAATGGTTGATTTAGTTTGGTTTCAGTTTTAAAACTGTGATTTTTAGTTAAAACTAAATCAACCACAAAATGACTAATAAAACTGAATTGCAAAACTGATCGCAAAATTACTGCTGCAAAATTAAATGAACTAATATTAGAAAGTACAGTCAACTCTCTTTATAGTCACACATTTGGGACAGTTCATATTTGGTGATTATAAAAAGATGTGACTATATAAAAAATTTCTTATATTAGTATATCATAATTCCGGGCAAAAATTAACATAATTTTAGCTAAAATTATACTCAAAACTTTATTGTATCGTAACTTCGCCAATATTAATTATATAGAGATGATTTTACCGCCATTCGATTCGTCTTAATGAGATGGTTCTAATGGTATAAAATACATCGAAATCCAATCACTAGATTAATTTCCAAAATTAAAAAAATATTAATGGATTTTGTGTAATAACTCTGCCAATATTGATCCTAGAGAGATGTTCTTACTACCATTCGATTCGTCTTGATGCGACGAATCTAATGGTATAAAATACATCGAAATCAAATCACTAGATCAATTTCTAAAATTAAAAAATATTAAATTGTTTTTAAGCAATAACTCCGTCAATATTGATTACAGAGAGATGAGCTTACCACCATTTGATTCGTCTTGATGAGGCGATTCCAACGAGCTATTAATCATCTTTTTACAGTCATTAGGTACTGAGAAATTTAGCAAAATGTTAAATGGCGCAGTAAACGTAAATCAACTTTCCCAGCGTAATCTGAAAAAAATGTCACAAAAAATCACGTGACTTTTTTTGTCACAACCGTCACACCCCACTGCGTTTCCATTTTCTATAAGTATCTGAGGGACTTAGTTTTTTTCAAGTAGGTAAAAACTTATCTGTCACACCTTATTCGTCATAAGTGCATCACACTTAATTTCAGTCAAGTTGCGTAATGCCGGCCATTTTGTGACATTTTTTTTCAGGTTATGCTAGGGAAGTCATGTAAATCAAGAAATATAATAATACTGATGCTTAACATTTTGTTGAATTACTTATCAGCAAGTGATTGCAAAAGGATAAAACTAAAAACTACCCAACTCTCTCCCGTTCTGCTCATTTGACAATATTTATGAAAAAATAAAAAATTTTTTCAAAGTTTTTTATTACTTTTTCTTTATATTTTCTTTATTTTAGATAACTACAACACTTTACAAAATGACTAAAGATAAAAAGAAGAAAAATAACAAGTCTAACAATGATAATACTACTAAATGTCCTGCCTCTAGCTCTCCAACTGGCAACGTTTCTGGTCAAGGTTTCTCTTTGTCTGGTCCTTCGAACACTCCACCTTTGACCAACTCTACTAATAAACGTACCAAAGTCAGTGCCGATGACTCTGTCATGGATGTTGATAAACCTCTCATGCCTTCTAGCTCTATTGAAATAACTCCCACTGAGAAACCTTCTCAACCTGATACCTTCTCTTTTAACACCTCCCAGCACGCACCCACTAATAGTAATAATAAAGGCAAAAG